GGGGGCTGCGGGCACATGGTCCTTGTGCAGGTCCCTGGGCTCATTGATGGGCATGTTGCCCTGCTCTGTTCAAGGTCATCCACTGGGATATGGAAGGAAAACATTAAAATTTTTATTTGTATGTATTTTTTTTCATTTTTTTATTTTTTATTATCATCATAATCTTTATATTACATTGGATTACATATAACTTAACAGTGTATTACATTGCTTTTTCAAAAGGGAATGCCATGCATGTCAGTCAGTACAGAGACATTAATCTCCCTGCTTCATCATTCAATATCTTTTCTGTTTTCCCCAATCATTATTATTATTATTCTAATTATTTTTTAAAACAGTCAATCGCTATTTCTCATTTTGCTTCTACATATATTTTGCCCATCATGAAATACTTCTCAGACCAATCCAGTTGAGAATACCATACATGTCCTCATCAACAGTTAATAAGCCATATCTGCTTCTCACTAACGTCCTGCCTCTCTATTGTTCACTTGCTATCTTCTCACTGGGCCATCCAGTGGCATAGTGGCTAAGGCAGCTGGATCCCGCATAGCTGACTGTGTGGCTGAAGTCCTGGACCCAGTAGCTGGAAACACGCTGGGCACATGTGTGCCCAAAATCCCAAGGGGAAAATGGAGGAGAAGGGATTCTGGTGTGGCTAATCACTTTTTCTCCCTTCTTTAATAGGAATACTAATCTGTCTTCCCATTTCCCACACCAAAGGCCTGGAGATCATGCGTGCCCTGCCCTCCTTTCCTTTGGAGCTCTCAATCCCTGGCCAGTCCCTGGCCAATTCAGGGCTAATCCCTGGTCAATCTTGTGGCCCTGGGGGGTGATTTCTCACTCTCTCTCTCTCTCTCTCTCACAAATGTACATGCCTTGTAGCATAAACAAATAAGTAAAACTCACCTTTTTGAGTTTTTAACTTCATGTATTTTAAATGAACTCTCCAGTTTAATATAAAGTATATATGACATGTAAATAATCAAAATTGGGAGGGCATATTATATCTCAATTAAACAAACTTAAAAATCAGGGGAGTGTATCCAAACATTTTTTATTTAGTCTTTTTTTTTTCCTTGCCAAAGGGTATGTGCATACGCTGGAGAGAGACAGAGACAGGAAGAAAGCAACCCCTCCAGTGGGTGCAACATGTGCCTAGAGTGTACTTCCAAATCACAATCGGCCATGTTGGATCTGGTTTCCTTAACCACTAGGCCACAGGGCCAGCCCAACCTATTTTGTTAATGATGAGCATGATCAAAAGAGTTTGGGGATGTTTGATGTGCTGAGGACTTGAATCACTGGTGATGGTGGTGAGGGTGGAGAGCTGCTGTGGAGGAAGAAAGTCAGTGAGCCTCTGGAGCAGGAAAGCAAGGACGGGTGATGCACACACCATCTCCAGGTTTTGCTCTGGGAAGTGGGGAGAGAGATCGCTCTCCCCATTAGAGACAAGGATGGCCAGAGCTCATTGTCCAAGAAGGGTCAGAGGCCCAAGAACTGCTGGTCCTTGCGGAATGCACTCAAACAAGGAAGGGAGAATACCAGCGAGGTGAAGAGCAAACCAGAAATTCCAGGGCCACGGAGGTCAAGGGAAAAGAGACTTTCAAGGAGGATGGGGTGGGAAGCAGAATCAGGGAGGTCAAGCGGAATGGCCCCAAGACATGGAATGCCTCTTGGAATTCTACCAGAAGGTCACTGAAGACTTTTTTTTTTTTTTAAAGTAATTTTAGTAGAGGGGAGAGGGTGAAGCTGGACAGCAGGGGGTTAAGGAGCAAATGAAAGGAGAGGAAATGAAGGCAGCAGGCTGTGTTTAGATTTCCAGCCTCAAAGTGAGGGCCGTGGAGGTGCAGGGTGCCCTGGGCAGGCTTCGTCCCTCATCTAGTGGTCAGGGATTCCTCCATGTCACTACATAAACAGTGTTAAGTGGTTCTAGGGCTGGGGCAGTGGGACCTGTGGGGTGTGAGTGGGAGGTGGGGAGGTGACAAAATTCAATCCTGTCACAGAACCTTCCAGAGGACCCAGGCTTTATGTGTGAATGTGTGTGTGCATGACAGAGATAAAAAGATAGCTTTAATTGTGTAAAGGCAGAGGGGTTACACACATAATTCTTTTTTTTTTAATATTTATTTGTTTACGTTCATTCACTGTACATCATTACAGCATACAAAATGGGATTTTCCATCCAGAGTACACTGTATATTGTCTCAATCAAGCACATCAACATACGTGTTATTGTCAGCAAATAATTTTCCATTTCTTGTTTCCTGTGTTTTGCTTTTCTTCCCCCCATCTTTGATTCCCTATCTCTTACCATCAGCTATATTTATTTGTTTACGTTCATTCACTGTACATCATTACAGCATACAAAATGGGATTTTCCATCCAGAGTACACTGTATATTGTCTCAATCAAGCACATCAACATACGTGTTATTGTCAGCAAATAATTTTCCATTTCTTGTTTCCTGTGTTTTGCTTTTCTTCCCCCCATCTTTGATTCCCTATCTCTTACCATCAGCTATCTCCTACTCTCTTCCCACACTGTCTCTGGTATCTATGTTTACTTTCTATACTGTTTCCCCCCATTTTTTATTGAATTACTAAAGATCTTAATTAATCTAAATATTTTCATAGCAAACACAGCTGATATATACATTTCCGTAAACACAAGTCTAACTTTATGCATCCTATAAAGTAGCACCTAGCTGGGGCTATATATCTTAC